GGGAGAAGGGGGTCATTGGGGGAAAAATGTGGAACATCTGTAATACATTTTACATCCAACAATAAAGATGTGGGGAAAAAAAAAAATGAAGTGTATTAGAGCCATCTGTGTGCTATCTACAGGCAATCCACATTAAATATACTGACAGAGATAGGTTAGAAGGATAAAAACAGGTATCAAAAAGCTGGTTTTATGCCCTGGCTATGTGGCTCAGTTGGTTGGAGCATCATCCCATGCACCAAAGGGTTGCAGATTCGATTTCTGGTCAGGGCACATACCTAGGTTGCAGGTTGATCCCAGGTCAGGGCACATACAGGAAGCAACCTATTGATATTTCTCTCTCACATCGATGTCTGTCTGTCTCTCTCTCTCTCTCTCTCCCCTCCCCCTCTTCCTCTCTCTCCTCAACCTACCTTCTCTTTCTCCTCCCCTTCCCTCCCTTCTGTCTCTAAAATCAATAAAAATATCCTCAGGTGAAGATAAAAAAAAAAAAGGAAACTGGGGTTGTTACACATTAAAGTAAAATGACCAAGAATAAAGAGATATTTACATAATGATAAAAATTGAATTTACCAAAAAGATAAAATGATCTTATATACATATACACTTATCCACAATTTTTAAAATTTTTTAAATTTTTTGTCTTTATTGTTGAATGTATTATAAATGTTCCTCATTTTCCCCCCATTGACCCCCTCCTCCCCACTCCCGCCGCCCTCCTGCCTTTTCCCACACTGTTGTCTATGTCCATTGGTTGTACATATATACATTTAAGTTCTTTGGTTTATTTCTTCCCTCCCCCACAGCACCCTTCCCTTTGAGGTTTGTCAGTCTGACAACCAATTTGTACTTCTTTTTTTTTTTTTTTTTTTATCCTCACCAGAGGACATCTTTTCATTTTTTGTTCAGATAGAGTGGGGGGGGGGGGGCGAGAGAGAGAGAAACATCAATGTGAAAGGGACACATCGAGTGGTTGCCACCCACACAACCCAACCAGGGCCAGGGACAAACTGCAACCGAGGTACATGCCCTTAGCGCGAACCGAAGCCGGGTCTCTCTGTACGGCAGGTCGACACTCTAACCGCTGAGCCAAACTGGCTAGGGCCAATTTGTACTTCTTAATCCCTTCACCTTTTTCACCCATTCCCCCAACCCCTCTCCCATCTGGCAACCAACAAAATGTTCTCTGTATCTATGAGAATGTTTGTTCTGCCTGTTCATTTTGTTTGTAGATTCCATTGTCGATAGATAATGTATTCATTGCCATTTTGTTTGTTCATATATTTTATCTTCTTCAAAAAGACCCTTCAACATTTCATATAATAACAGTTTGGTGATGATGAACTCCTTTAACTTTTTCTTGTCTGTGAAACTTTTTATATGTCCATCGATTCTAAATGACAGCTTTGCAGGATAGAGTAATCTTGGTTGTAGGTTCTTGCTTTTCATCACTCTGAATATTTCGTGCCATTCCCTTCTGGCCTGCAAAGTTTCTTTTGAGAAATCAGCTGACAGTCTTATGGGAACTCCCTTGTAGGTAATTAACTGCCTTTCTCTTGCTGCTTTTAAGATTCTCTCTTTGTCTTGAACCTTTTGCATTTTGATTATGATGTCTTAATCATTTCACAGAGGTTGGGACTCTCTGTGCTTCCTGGACTCGTATGTATGTTTCCTTCACCAGGTTAGGGAAGTTTTCTGCCATTATTGTTTCAAATAGGTTTTCAATTTCTCGTTCTCTCTCTTCTTCTTCTGGCACCCCCAAGATGCGTACGTTGGCACGCTTAAAGTTGTCCCAGAGGCTCCTTATACTATCCTTATTTTTTTGGATTCTTTTTTCTTTTTGCTGTTCTGATTGGGTGTTTTTTGCTTCCTTATATTCCAAATCGATGGTTTGCTTCTTGGCTCTTCCTACTCTACTATTGAATCTGTGTAAATTATTCTTTATTTCAGTTAGTGCCTCCTTCATTTCTGACTGTGCATCCTTCATTTCTGACTGGTCCTTTTTTATGCTCTTGAGGCCCTCACTAAGTTCACTGAGGTTCTCACTAAGTTCATTGAGCATCCTTATAAGCAGTATTTTGAACTCAGCATCTGTGAGGTTGCTTATCTCCATTTCGCTTAGTTCTTTTTCTGGGGTTTTGTTCCGTTCTTTCATTTGGGACTGTTTCTTTGTCTCTTCATTTTGGCTCCCTCCCTGTGTTTGTTTCTATGTATTACTTAAGAGATATGGGGCTAGCTGAGTCCAGATGCTGCTTGTTTGAAAGAATTTAGGAATACCTGAAACTAGATCCAAGATAGGCCAATCCTAAGGTTAAGCAACTGGCAACAGCTTGGGTGGGCCTGAAAGCTGGGTGGGGCAGGGCCTCAGGGAACCACCAGGGCGGGGCACACAGTGTGATCCAGGTTGCTGGAGTCTCAGATATGGCGGCTGTCTGCCACCCCAGTGAAGGGCTCACCAAAAGAACAAAGGCCTCTGACAGCACGTTTGTCCCGGAGAAAAGCCCCCTCTCCAGCCCTCGCTCCAATGCCAAACAGCTCAGTTCTTCCCTGTATGTCTCTGGCGCCCCTTGAGCTGCCTACCCTCTGAGCTTAGAGGGAGCAAGTCTGAGTAAGTTTATGTGCGGGCCCTTTAAGAGGAGCTGCCTGGGGCTCCAGCCGCCTCAGCCTCCCTGAGCCTCATTTCCCGCTGGTTTTTCCAGCCAGAAGTTATGGGGACTTTTTTTTTTTGGCACTGGAACCCTGAGCGGGGCACCTGGTGTGGGACAGGGACCCCTCAGTCCTCAGGGAGGACCTTCCCAGCCGAGGTGTCCTCCTGATTTTTATCCGCCACACGTGGGTGTGGGACCAGCCCGTCTGCCTCCACCCTTCCTACCAGTCTCATGTGGCTGCTTCTTTAATTCATTAGTTGTAGGACTTTCATTCAGCTTGATTTCAGGTGGTTTTGAATGATGGTTGTTCTGTAGTTTAGTTGTAACTTTGATGTGGTTGTGGGAGGACACGATTCCACATTTACCTACACTGCCATCTGGACCAAAAGTCCACTTATCCACAATTCTACATCAAACATTCATCAAGATAGACCATTTCTTGATCCATGAAACAAACTTTAAAACATTTGAAAGAATTAAATCACATACTTTTATCAAAACAAGTATAGAAAAGAATAATAGAAATATATCTAGAAGAATCCAGAAATATTTGAAAATTAAACAGTGTATTTATTAACTCCTGAGTCCAAGAAGTCTCATCGAAAAAGTTTTTTTAAAAGGAAGTTATAGTACAGCAACGTTTTGGGGATGCAGCCAAAGTGGTGCTGAGAGGGAAATTTATAGCATTAAAATGCTTGCTTTAGAAAAAGAAAGGTTGCAAATCAGTAGTCTTAACTTTTCCATTCCATGAAACCAAAAAATAAAAGAGCAAAGTAAGCAGAAAGAAATGTAAAAAATCAAAAGGAACCAATGAAGTAAAAAGTCCTGTTCTTGAAAAAAGTCAATAAAATTGATAAACTTCTAGTCTGATTAAAAAAAAAGAAAAACTAAGACAAATTATTGATACTAAGAGTGAAAGGGTAGGGAGAGATATTATCGTTACAGGTCCCATAGATATTAAAATGAGAAAGGCATATAATATACAACTCTACTCATAAATTCAAAAGCTTATAAAATAGGGCCATTCCTTACTAGATACAAACTACTAAAACTCACAAAGAAATACATAACTTGGATAGTCCTATATCTACTGTACTGCTTCTTTAACTGGAGGATACATTCCAAGACTCCCAGTGGATACCTTAAGCCGCAGATAGTACCAAAACCTGTATATATGTTTTTCCTGCACATACATACGTATGATAAAGTTTAATTTATAAATTGGGCACAGTAAGAGAGTAACAATAATAGAAAAATTGTAACAATATACTGCAATAAAAGTTATATGAGTGTGGTCTCTCAAATTAAGACTTAAGAGATATCATCACTACACATTTATTAGAATACATAAATTTTTTTAAAAAAAATCTGTTTTAACCAAATGCTGGTGAGGATATAGAACAATTGAAACTCCTATACATTACTGGTGGGAATGCAAAATTGTAAAACCACTTTGGAAAACAGTGGGCAGCTTTTCTTAGAAAATTAAAAAGCCCAGCTGGTGTGGCTCAGTGGTTGAGCGTCGACCCATGCACCAAGAGATCACTACTGGTTCAGTTCCCAGTCAGGGCACATGCCCAGGTTGTGAGCCAAATCCCCAGGGGAGACATGCAAGAGGCAGCCAATCAATGTTCTCTCTCATCGATGTTTCTCTCTCTCTCTCTCTCTCTCTCTTTCTCTCCCTTCCTCTCTTAAATCAATAAAGAAAAAAGAAAATTAAATACACATTTACATAATGTCCCATTATTCCCACTCCAAAGTATTTACTCCAGAGAAATGTTTACACAAAAACCTATATACAAATATATCAGCTTTATTTATAAATGTCCAAAACTAGAAATAACTCGTGTCCTTCAACTGTCTACTGAATAAAGAAACTGTGTTCCATCAATACAATAGAATCCTACTCAGCAGTAAAAGGAAGTGAAGTATTGGTACATACAATAAACAAAGAGGATGACTCTCAGATCCCTTAAGATGACAACAGCCAGACTGTAAGGTTCATTTCTGTAACATTTGGAAAATGCAAATCTTTGCTGCCAGGGGCTAAGGATGTGAGCAGTTTTGACTACACAGAACCACACAGCAGTGATGGAATTTTCTGTATCTTTGTGGTTGCATAACTTTATACATTTCTCAAAAGTTGTACAACTGGACACCAAGGTAATGGAATTTTAATGTACGTTAAATTTAGAATACCTTATATAAAAAAGAGGTTTGTCCAGGAATGTTCTTTTATATATTTTAGGGTGTGTATCTCTAAGGTGAATAAAATACTATCTATTTAAGTAGAATTTCTTAGGTGACATACAAGTTAGTATAAACCTAAAGTATTCCATTGTTATCCCTCAGGAGTTGAAGTGCCATCAAAAGACTCTTTGCCAAAGAAAAGGCCAATTTATGAAGATAAAAAGAAGAAAAAATCTCCACAGCAGCTAGAAAATAAAGAAGGTTTGTATACAAAATAGTCTGTGGTTTAGAAACATTTCTATTTGCCTTTTCTCGCATTTTAAAATGGAGTGTCTTTAAAAAAAGAAATCAAATCGGAATTGCATATTAAAACTTATTTTTTATATCTTATTTCTGATTTTTGTTCTCAACTGATTCAAATGCCAGGGTGATGAAAAAGTATGTTTGTTTGAAAAATCTAGATCCTACCCTATGAATAACTATTCTTAACTGAAAAGTACAACTATCATTCTTCTCTTTTCTTTTTTTCCCCTCACTCTTCTATAATTTTACATTCTATTCCTTGAGCAGAAAGAAAAGCTGTGTTCTGTAAAATATATGACTAATATTTAAATGTTTTTTGAACTTGATAAAGAATTCAGGTTTACACTAATGGTTTTTATTCAATATTTAACAGAGTATCCTAACAGAAATTATATACTGAAAAAAATATTACTAATTTGGTTTCTGCCCTTTACGCAGTGTCTGAGCCAATAGAATTAAGTGCTGCTATAGAAGTTGTGGAACAAGGAGTACCAGAAAAAGAAGAGTCACCACCTCCTGTTGAACCAGGCCAGTGGCATTGACTAATAAATTCTTAAGTAGTGTTGATGTGTCAAAAGGTGTCTTAGTTAATATTAGTTTGAGGAAACCAAATATCTGGCAGGATGGTCTTCTATTTTTTATAGTCCTTTCTAAATAATTTCATTTCCACTTTGAAAAATATGGAAGTGAGACTTGAATCAATTTTGTTCTTTTCAGAAGTGCCAGTAAAATTTTTGTAGAGAGGATAGAGATTTTGTATTTTCTGTTTTTATTGATGGGTCAGAAATCTTAGGTGGTGCCAAGAAGACCTTAAGTTCATTATTTAATCCTTCCAAAGCAAATTGGAAGCTTTTTTTTTCTTTTCCATTTATTTTCAGACAGAGCAGGAGGTAGGAGGGAGGAGAGAGAGAGAGAGAGAGAAACATGGATGTGAGAGAGACACATCGACTGGTTGCCACACATGGGACCCCAACCAGAGCCAGGGACAAACTGCAACTGAGATACGTGCCCTGAGCGGGAACCGAACCCTGGACTCTCTGGTCCACTGGCCGATGCTCTAACCGCTGAGCCAAACTGGCCAGGGCTGGAAGAGTCATAAAGTTGGCATTTTTAAAACCTTAGAGGTCATCCTCTACTGAGTAAATCAATTCAATTTATTCAGAGTTTGTGTTTTTAGGTTGGAGAAAGTCTCTGGCTTTCTTTTCTATTTTCTTTTTTTTCTCTAAGATAAACATTGTTCTAATTCATGAGGCTAAATATTGATAGGATAGCTGCAGGCTATCCTAATGTATGTTTGGTAGAATTAAGAGACTCTCAAGTGTTCAAAGACAGAAGTAGGAGTGGAAACATTTGAGGATGTCAAGACTGACCCACAGTGGTGAAAAGTATTATTGATAGTTGCCTCCCCTCCACCGACTCAGTGTAAAAAGAATAATTTGGACACATTTCAGCTTAGCATAATGAAATTAGAGAAATTCAGGTTGTTGTGCTTAATTAATAGCAGTTCCCTATTTTAGGCGATATTTGTAACTAGACAAAATTCTAAATTGGAAGGATGTTTTGAGCACATGTTCCTAACCCTCTTTTTCTCCTCCTCCTCCTCAAGATGACTTATCCAAATTGTTGACAAATGAGATGATTATTATAGGGAAGCCAATACTACATGTGCTCTCATCTTTTAAGAATAGTTTTGCTTAATTGGATTTCAGTAAAAGAGTCATTGTTGTTAAAGACAATATTAAGTGTTTAATATTCAAAATAATACCTTTCTATTTTTGGGTTGTAAGCATAACATCTGTTGTTACTTTCTTTTTTTTTTTTTTTTTTTATCCTCACCCGAGGCCATTTTTCCATTTTTTGTTCAGGTAGAGTGGGAGGGAGAGAGAGGAACAGAGAGAGAGAGAGAGAAACATCGATGTGAAAGGAACACATCGAGTGGCCGCCACCCGCACAACTGACCAGGGCCGGGGACAAACTGCAACCGAGGTACGCGCCCTTAGTGGGAACCGAACCCGGGTCTCTCAGGACCGCAGACCGACGCTCCAACCGCTGAGCCAAACCGGCCAGGGCTGTTGTTACTTTCAACTGGAGCAGAGATATCGCTTTGTACTTTCAACTATGTAATTTATGTAGTATTTGTATTTATAGAGGTTGAAGCAAAATAAGTAATAACATATGTTTCACATATTTTGACCTGTAAACCTACTTTTGCCCCACCCTGTATTCAAAATACTGGAATTGTGAATCATTTAGTACTAATAAATTATAATGTGTTAGCTTTATTGAAAAATAATTCCAAAGATAATGAAATGGTGTGTGTGTGTTTTTTGCATAATTAAAACATTTGTTTTTTATGTCAGTATAATTTTCTACCTTTTTCTATGTCTTTAATGAAAACTTTTATTTACAGAAGAGGAAGAAGAAACTGAGGATGCTGGACTGGATGACTGGGAAGCTATGGTCAGTGATGAGGAGAGAGAAAAAGGTGAATAGCTCATAAACACCTGTTGACAAATCCAGTGGTTTTTAGAGGTGTTTATATTTAAAGGAATAGTCAGTCTCCTGATAATGACCGCCATATGCACATTCCTGAGGAGAGAGACCAGTTTTGCTCTCTCTGTTGCCATGGTTCCTAAATCCTCATGTGGATCCCATTGCATGAATAAGTGGTTTTACAGAAGGTCATTTGTAAGATAGTTGCTTGGAATTTAGGATACATTTTTTCAGAGTGATGTTGTAAATGGGGTTAGAGTATTATAACTAGCCTACAAAAGCCCCTTTAACTTAACATCTGAATACAAAAACAATACAAATAATAGTATAATTCCTAATCACTATGAAAAAGAAGTGTCTTTTTTTTTTTTTTTCTAATTACTTTCTATCCTTTATTACTAAAATCAACTTTCTTTGGGTTTAATTTGTTTGCTTTTTTCCTTTTGAGATGGATATTTGTCTCTCAGATGTTTTGGTCTTTTCACCCTAATACATATGTATATTTTTTTTTATCCTCACCCAAGGACATTTTTCCATTTTTTGTTCAGATAGCGTGGGCGGAAGAGAGAAAGAGAAACATTGATGTGAAAGGGACACATCGAGTGGTTGCCACCCGCACAACCCAACCAGGGCCGGGGACAAAATGCAACCAAGGTACGTGCCCTTAGCGGGAACCGAACCTGGGTCTCTCTGGACCGCAGGCTGACGCTCTAACCACTGAACCAAACCGGCCAGGGCCATACTTTTTAAGTTATTAATTTTTCTTTAAGCATGGATTTAGCCAAATTTTATAGGTTCTGATATTTTGATTTTTTTTAACTTACATTTTGGTATAAATTTCATCTATAATTTATTTAGAAGTGTATTTCTTAGTTTACGTAAGTGGGGACTTTCTAATTATCTTCTGTCACTTCACTGTGATCAGAGAACATACATGGTTCTATCCTTTGCTGAGACAGTTAATTTACAATCCAGCAAATAGTAGATTATTGTAAATGTTTCACATGTGATTGGAAAGAGTTCATATCCTGCAGTAGTTGGGTGCCTTGTTTGCTGTGTTTAGTCAAGTTTGCTGATCATTTTGTTTGTCTTTTAATATTGTTCTGAGTTTTATTTTGTTGTGCTTTTTCTGTTACTAGGTGGTGTGTTAAAATTTCCCACCATGACTGTAAATTGTCTACTTCTCCCTGAGTTCTGTCAACTTTTGCTTTATATATTGTGGTGCTATATTACTAGGTGAATATAGTCTTATATCTTTCTAATGAATTGACTCTTATTATTGATAATATTATTTATTTATGTTATATTTACTTTATACTTTAGTTCATTATTCATTTTTAGCAATGCCTTTTGCCTTAAAGTCTACTTTATCTGATATTAATACAGCTACACAAGCTTTGATTTACATGTTCTTTTTCTGTCCTTATTACTCTTTCTGTGTCTTTAAACAGCATATAGAGATTTTTGCATCCAGTTTGTCAGTTTTTATTTTTACCTAGTGCACTTAGCCCATTATGCCTAACATTTGATGTAATTAATGTAGTATATTGGTTTTATATTTATTATCTTATTAAATCCTTCTTTTTTTGTTGTTTTATTTTGTTAATCCTCACTCAAGGATATTTTTCCATTGATTTTTGGGGGGGCGGGGTGGAGAAACACTGATATGAAAGAGACACATCAATTGGTTGCCTCCCACATCGAACCCAGGAACATGACCTTGATCAAGAATTGAACCCAGGACCCTTTGGTCCTTGGGCCAGTGCTCTAACCACTGAGTAAAACCGGGCAGGGCTTCATATTTGTTTTGTCTGTTTTTCTCCTCTCTCTTTTCTAACCATATTTTGGATTGTTGGATTCTTTTTGTTAACATTTTTTCCTCCTTCCATGAACCTGGAAGTTGTGTACTTTTTCACTTACTTTTAGTGTTAATCTAGAGACTTTTAACATGGATCCTTGAATTATCATCATCTAATGTTACCATCTTCCCAGACAATGCAAAGAACATTGAGTTCATGAATAACATTTACCCAAATTCTCAATTTATATATTATTCTCATTTATTTTAATTCTCTGTTTTAAACCCCATAATAACATACTTTTATTACAGTCAATAGTTATTTAAATTTACCTAAATTCTTAGCTTTTTGTTGTGCTTAATTTCTTCCTCTATCTCTGACCTTCCATTTGGGGGTCATTTCTTCCTGCCTGAAGAACTCCTTTTAGAATTTCCTTTAGTATTAATCTGTTAATAAGATATTACATTTTTACTTTTCTAAAAAATATCCTTTTCTCATCTTCATTCTTGAAGGGTATATTTACTGGGTGAGGAATTCTATGCTAAAATTTTATTTATTTAACACTTTGAAGATATTATTCCCTTGTCTTGGCTTTCATTATTTCTATTGAGAATTCAGATATGAACCTAAATTTTTCATGTTTCTTTGGTTTTTAGCAGTTTTATTATGATGTGGCTAGGGTTGATTTTTTAAAAATTTATTCTGTCTGTAGAGCTTTAGGAATATGGTTTTATGCTTTTATCGATTTTGCAATGTTATATGAGCCATTATTTTCCCTCAGGGATTCTAGTTATGACTAGATAGACCTTGTTACTATATCATTGCATTGTATTTTTTGTTTCCGTGGTTTATTCTAAATTGTTTCTTCTTTTTAAAATTGATTTTAGATAGGAGGAGAGAGAGGGAGAAACATCGATTTTGTTCCATTTATTTATGTATTCTTTGGTTGATTACTTATTTGTATGTGCCCTGACCGGGGATCAGACCCAAAACCTTGGCATATCAGGATGACTCTGTAACTAACTGAGCTACTCGGCCAGGGTTAGATTGTTTCTTCTGATCTGTCTTCCGGTTCATTAACTTTCTCCTCGGGCTATTCTCTCCTGTATTTTTCCATTTTAGAATTTCCACTTAACTATTTAACGGTTTTATTTACTTTCTAAAAATTTTAATCTCATCTTTTGCTCCCTAGATGTTAGAAGCATAGTTTTATTTTTTTTAGAGAGAGATAGAAACACTGATGTGAGAGAGAAACATCCATGGGCTGCCTCCTGCATGCCCCCTACTGGGGATCCTGCTGCATCCCGGGCATGTGCCCTGACTGGGAATCAAACCAGGACCTGTCAGTCCATGGGACGACACTCAGTCCACTGAGCCACACCAGCTGGGCAAAAGCATAGTCATTTTTAAATTTTGGTTTTATAATTTCAGTGGAAGCCCTGTGGGTGTGCTGGCTCTCCTCGTGTGAATTGTTTTTCTTTTTTTTTTAATCCTCACCCGAGGACATTTTTTTGCATTTATCTTATGATAGAGTGGGAGGGAGAGAGGGAGGAAGAGAGAGAGAGGAACATCAATGTGAGAGAGACACATCGACTGGTTGCCACCCACACAACCCCAACCAGGGCTGGGGACAAACTACAACCAAGGTACATGCCCTTAACGGGAACCGAACCCAGGACTCTCCCATTCGTGAGCCAACGCTCTAACCACTGAGCCAAACCAGCCAGGGCGTGAATTGTTTTCTTATGTGGTTTGTAATTTTTATATATTGTACTAAATATTATACTTGTAAAACTATGGAAATATTTTGTGGTTAAAGGTGGTGTTTTTGTCCTCTAGAAAGAATTTCTATGTACACCCACCAGAAGTGAACTAGGAATAATCAACATTAGTTAATTATTCCGCATTTATCTTAATAATGATTTTTTTTTAGAGAGAGAAAACATTGATTGGCTGCCTTCTGCATGCCCCCTCCTGGGGATCAAGCCCACAACCTGGGTATGTGCCCTGCCCATGAATCCAACTGGGACCTCTCAGTCTGTGAGATGGCACACAATCCACTGAGCACCACCAGCTGGGCAGGTATTCCAAATTTAGAATTCAGAGACTCTGGAAGCCTTCTGCCAAGAATGGGGAGGCTCTGTTTACTTCCTGTTCATCCTCATTGCTAGGGTACAGTTCCTCAGGATTTCAACTCACAATTAGTGTGTTATCCAGTGTTCATCCACTTTGCCCCTGTGAATCCTTAGTAGGTCTGAACTCCCAATGCTCCTAATCACTGAGGAGCTAGTAAAAGCACTGCTCAGCCTTTGAGCTGCCTCCTCCAGAATCAGCATGTGACCCCCGGGAGAAAGAAGTACCAACCCGTGTGTTCATCATCCTGGGTGTCTGTCCTCTCTTGTATCCTGGCTTAGTAATGTTTTCTCTTTTCTTTTCTTTTCTTTTCTTTTCTTTTCTTTTTCTTTTCTTTTCTTTTTCGCTTCGCTTCGCTTCGCTTCGCTTCGCTTCGCTTCGCTTCGCTTCGCTTCTTTTCTTTCTTTCTTTCTTTCTTTCTTTCTTTCTTTCTTTCTTAGTAATGTTTTCTTTTTTCTTTTCTATCTTTCTTTCTTCTTTTAATTAGCTTATGTATAGATTAATGTATTAAATTTCTCTATTATGTTGATGGAAATCTTATTTTTAATTTTCATTTATTTTTAAATTTCTTGTTTTTCTGAAAGAAGGGAACACAGTGCATATAGAAGTAAAAGAAAACCCTGAAGAGGAGGAAGAGGAAGAAGAAGAGGAAGAAGAGGAGAGTGAAGAGGATGAGGAAGATGAAGGAGAAAGTGAAGGCAGTGAAGGTGAAGAAGATGAGGAAAAGATGTCAGATGAGAAAGATTCAGAGAAAACATTAGATAAAAAGCCAAGTAAAGAAATAAGCTCAGAATCTGAATATGACTCGGATGATGATAGAACTAAAGAAGAAAGGGCTTATGACAAAGCAAAACGGAGGATTGAGGTATTTATTTTTCCCTTTTTCATTGCTTCTTTCCTTCACAGTCCTCTTCTGTGGTCATTAGAAATGATTCTACAACAGAAGCTTTTATTGAGCAGCACTTTTAAAAACAGAGTCTCAGAAAAGGATCTTGTCCAGTTATTGTAAGTCAAGACATAATAGGTCTGACACTGTTCTAATGCAAGGACTTCAGTCCCTTACCCAAGTCAGAATGGTGACTGCTTCATGCTTTTCTTGTGTTCTCAAAATTTTAATGTGCTATTTGAGTGATGATTCTGATCACATAAGTTGTTTAAATCTGGTGTGTTACTGAGGCTTCTATTAAAGTGCACATACCTAGCAGTCTTACTATTAGGTTTCCTCTTTAATGCAGTAGACTTCAAGAGAAAATTTTCTTAAATTATGTCAGCTTAGCATAAATAATATACTAAAAACTACTTTCGTTTGCTTGAGGAGGTTAAGCTATTTTAAAGCTAAAAACTTTTAGCTTTTATTCTCTTTATCTTTTTATGTATAATTCTAATATTTTCGTTTTTTTATGACCCTTATATCAGTATTTGCCGTTTCCTTCTGTAAAGTCTCGATAGAGATATATTTTCTGAATTTCTAAAGGACTAAGAAAGACTATGTTGTAAGTTGGGGTTTCTTAACCCCAGCACTATTGACATTTTGGGGCCTGGTCATTCTTTCTAGTGAGGGGCTGTCATCTTTATTTTGGAATGTTGAGCAGCACCTCTGTCCTCTACTCACTAGATGCCAGTAGCATTCCCTCCCTTCCTCCAGTTGTGACTGCTTCTTCCCGTGGCACCTACTCAAGCCAACTCTCTTGCACTGCACTGAGAGAGTTTATTCTGTTTGAAGATTTAAAAACAAGCAAACAAAATGGGTATAAAATAGAAAGTACAAGTTCCCCTGTTATCTCATTTCCCAGACTTGTTCATTGTTCTGTATATGCACTTCAAGTTTTAAAAATGTTTAATTGAAAGTAAGTTATATAATAAATTTTGGAGAGACTTTTTTTATCCTCACCTGAGGACACTTTTGCATTATCTTCAGATAGAGCAGGAGGGAGAGAGGAAGGAAGAGAGAGAGAGAGAGAGAGAGACATCGAGTGGCTGCCACCCACACAACCCCAACCGGGGCCGGGGACAAACTGCCATCAAAGTACATACCCTTAGTGGGAACCAAACCCGGGTCTCTCTGGTCTGCAGGCCAATGTTCTAACTGCTGAGCCAAACCTGCTAGAGATGGAGAAACTTTTTCTTCACATAACAATATGCTATGGACCTCTTAGCTCACCACTGAGCAAAACTGGCCAGGGCAACTTAACACATTTTTTTTTTTTAAATCCTCACCCAAGGACATTTTTCCATTTTTTTGTTCAGATAGAGTGGGGGGTGGGGCAGAAAGAGAGAGAAAGAGAGAGAAACATCGACGTGAAAGGGACACATCAAGTGGCTGCCACCCGCATGACCAAACCACGGCCGGGGACAAACTGCAACCAAGGTACGTGCCCTTAGCGGGAACCGAACCCGGGTCTCTCTGGACCGCAGGCCAACGTTCTAACTGCTGAGCCAAACCAGCCAGGGCCACATTTTTAATTTAAGCAGTTTTGTTGAGATATGTTTTACATACTATCAAATTAATATGTTTTAAGTGTATAATTCAGTGATATTTGTAAATTTATAGTTGTGCAATCATCAACACATCTTAACTTTGGAATATTTTCATTACCCCCAAAAGATTCCTTGTGCCCATTTATATATATATAATTTATATATATATTTTAATTGATTTTAGAGAAAGAGGAAGGGATAGGGAGAGAGAGATAGAAACAGGGATGGGAGAGAACATCGATTGGCCACCTCCTGCATGTCCCTCGCTGGGGATCAGGCCCACATCCTTAGGTGTGTATCCTGAGCGGGAATCAAACCAGTGACCTCTTGGTCCATGGGTCGATGCTCAACTACTGAGCCACACTGGCTGGACTAATTTTAAAAATTTTATAACATCCAGTTTATCAAATTTTTCTTTTATAAAGTATTCTTCTAGTGTTGTATTGAAGAAATCTTTGCCTAACCCAAAATCATGAATATTTTGTCGTGTTTTCTTCTAAAATATTTATACTTTTAGTTTCTTATATTTTTAGCTCTAGGATTTGTTTTAAAATAATCTTTATGTATTATGTGAGGTAAGGAATTAAACTCCTTTTTTCTTTTTTCTTTCTTTTTTTTTTTTTTGAGAGAGAGAGGGAGGGAGAGGGAGAGGGAGAGAGAGAGAGAGATAGAAACATCAATGAGAGAGAACATCGACTGGCTGCCTCCTGCATGCCCCCTACTGGGGATTTGGCCCACAACCTGGGCATGTACTCTCACCAGGAATCAAACCAGCACCCTCTTGGTGCATGGGTTTTGATGCTCAACCACTGAACCACACCACCTGGGCTAAACTCATTCTTTATGAATGTAACCAGCATCATTGGTTGAAAAGGCTCTTCTTTCCCCATTGAATTGCTTTGGCATCTTAAATCAATTGATTGGAAATGTGAGAGTTTATTTTTGGACCTTGAGTTTCATTTCATTCATCCATTTTATCTGTTATGTCAGTACCACACTGTCTTGGTTACTTTAGTTTTATAGTAAATTTTGAAATTGTAAAATGTTAACTTTCTAGTGCTGTTCTTTTCAAGATTGTTTTGGCTATTCTAGGTCACTTTCTTTTTCAGATAAATTTTAAGATCTTGTCAGTTTCTGCAAAAAGGTGTACTTAGATTTTGATATAGATTGTGTCAAATTTATAGATCAATTTTAGTAAGAATTACCATCTTAATTATATTGAATCTCCCAATTTATGGAAATAGGTTGTCTCTTATTTAGAGCTTTTAAAATTTCTTTTAGAAGTTTTTTATAATTTTCAGAGTGTAAGATTTATCTTTTTTATTTATTTATTTATTTTATTTTTTATTTTTTTTATCCTCACCCGAGGACATTTTTCCATTTTTTGTACAGATAGAGTGGGAGGGAGAGAGAGGAAGAGAGAGAGAGGGAAGCATCGATGTGAAAGGGACACATCGAGTGGCTGCCACCCGCACGACCAACCAGTGCCGGGGACAAACCGCAACCGAGGTACATGCCCTTAGCGGGAACCGAACCCGGGTCTCTCCGGACCGCAGGCGGACGCTCTAACCGCTGAGCCAAACCGGCCAGGGCTATCTTTTTTATTTTTTTATCCTCACCCGAGGACATTTTTTTCATTTTTTGTTCAGATAGAGTGGGAGAGGGAGAGAGGGAGAGAGAAACATCCACGTGAAAGGTATACATCAAGTGACTGCCGCCCGTACCACCCAACCAGGGCTGGGGACCAATTGCAACCGAGATACGTGCCCTTAACGGGAACCGAACCCAGGTCACTCTGAACCGCAGGCCGACGCTCTAACCACTGAGCCAAACTGGCCCAGGTGTCTTTTTTTCTTTTAAGATCAAATTAATTTTATTCCAAAAAAGGAAGGTTGGTTTAACATTTTGAAAGGGATTTGTAATTCTTTTTTTAAATTTGTTTCTAAGTATCTTACTATTTTTGATGCTATTGTTAATAGGATCATATTATTTTTAAATTGTTTCATTGCTAGTATAAATACAATGAATTTTTATAGATTAACCGTCTCTCCTCCAATTATACTGAAATTTTTTTTATTCTAAGAACTTTTCAAGGATTCTTTGGAATTTTTTTAATTGGTGTCATATTGTTTGTCAAAGGACAATTTTAATTCTTTACTTCCAGTGTCACTGCTTTTTGTTTCTTTTTCTTGCCTGATTTTCCTGGCTAGAACAATGTATTGTTGAATAGAATACTTGCCTTGTTCCCAGTCTCTGGGAGGAAATTATTCAGATTTTAACCATTAACTATGATATTAGTTGGATACACTTTACCAGTTGAGGAAATTTCTTTCTTCTCCTTGTTTGTTGAGATTTTCTATCATGAATGGATGGTGGATGCCTTTTGTATGTTTATTAAGATTTTTTTTTCCTTTTCAGTATTAATGTATAATGTATTATATTAATTGGTATTCAAATGTAAAACCAACCTTGTATTCCTGGAACACGTCTCATTTGAATCCTGTAAGTTTCTGTAAAGTGAATAGTGATGTCTCTCCTGTTTTGATTCTGATTTTGTTGATTTGTGTCTCCTCTTTTTTTTTTACCCCTTGGTCTAGCTAAAGGTTTTCTATCTTTTTTGATCTCTCAAGACCTAGTTTTTGGTTTTATTAATTTGTTTCTTTTCTCTTTAATTGATTTTTAAATCCTGTTCCTTATTATTTTCTTCCTTTTGTTTAGTTTGGGTTTTGTTTACTCATCTGCTGATTTCTTAGGATGACAAGTTAAATAATTGATTTAAGACTTTTCTTCTTTTTAATACTATAGAGTCATTATAAATTACAAATTTTTCTCTTGGTATTTGCTTTAGTTCCATCCCATAAATTTTGGTATGTTGAATTTTTTGGTTTTCATTCTGTTCAAAATATTTTCTAATTTCCTTTGTTATTTCTTTCTTGACCCATGTGTTCTTCAGAAGTACATTGTCATAATTTACAAGTGTTTGTGAATTTCAGTATTTTTCGATAGTTAATTCTAAATTCTTACTATTGTGGCCAGAGAACATATTGTTTGGTTTGTGTCATTTAAAAATAATTAAAAGTTCTCTTATCTTCTAGCATATGGTCTTTTCTGAAAAATGTTTCTTGTGCACTAAGGAAGAATGTGGATTCTGCTGTTGATGGGTCTTGATTGTAGTTAGGTCAGTTTGGTAGATAGTGTTCAGATTTTCTGTATACTCGCTCATTTTATGTGTAGCATTTCTTTACATTATTGAGAGTGGATTATTAAAGTTCCCAAATTTATTGTGGAATTGTATATCTTAATAACATTTTTTTTGGTCTAGCATTAATGTAGCTACTCCAGCTGTCTTACAGTTACCATTTGCATGGTATGTGTTTTTCAGTCTTA